TCCATGTCAACTATCTTGAAACACGCAAAAATGTGTTATAAAATACAATAATTTTTAAATAAAGTTATATAATATTGATGAGTGAAAATAAAATAAAAACAAAAAATTATTTGTCATTAGCTAGGTGTCTTATATATCAAAAAATCAGTTCAGTAATGAATGATTATATTATTTTTATAGTGATCCAAACTTTACATATTTGATCTTTGAACCGAACTATTTGAATTAATATCAACGCAAGCCATTTGATTTAGTACCGAGTTAATAAAAATAAATATGCATATAAATTACTAGTAAATTAAAAATAACAATTAGAATACTAATAATAGTGAACGCCGAATAAAATTAATACCGGTTTTTAATGCTTTCAAACTAATCGTTGGAGGAGAAAATATTTTTTAGTTCAGCTCGGTATTAGGTTTTAAGCTGCGCGTAATCGTGTTCGGCTTTCGAACCTGGTATAATGGTTTTAACGTTATAATTATATATAATATATTAATAAAAATAAATCAACCCTTGACTTGCATACATTTTCGTTTTCGTGTTTTATACAGAGCTGGTATTAAAACTGCAATACCATACATTGAAATCGAAACTCTAGTCTTGCAGACGATTAGACGATTATTAAAAAGATTTAAAAAATGTAAAACTATTAAGKCCTAAATTCAATTAACAATAAAAACGATAAGATATATAATAACTAGTCATGATATTTTGATATTTACCTATACTTATCCATGAAATACCGAAAATTTTCGTAACGTAGTATTTGTTTCGTGGTTACCCGCATTATAACAATATATTATGTAGTACATACCTGCAGTATAATGTATAAATAAATATTTGCTTTCGAACAGATGAAACGAAAATTAACGTTAATAATCTATGTACCCTATGAATATATAACACGAGAACGCGCAAATTATCAACATGCTAGTAGTCATATATAGAATAGGTAGGTGCATACGGTAAACGATAATACGTACATTAACAAACTAAGTCAATGCCAGCAGATGCGTCTAAATAAACGTTATTTTTTTTATACACATCATTTATAGCTTATATTTAATAATTATAAATTATATAATTATAATATATATTATGTGGTAACTATTAATTTTTTATTAAGTTCGGCGCAAGAAATTCACAATCATATTATGTACATCTTATTTAAAAAAAACATTATAATATAATACATGATATTTATGATATAAATATATAGCAATGTGTTTAAAACATTAAGTTAAATATTAGTATGATATTAAGAGAATGTGCCGAACGATCTAATGTTACCTTGTTGGTGCCTAACTATATATTTATTATTAATTTTAGGTAGTATTTTGGTATGTCAAATGTTAACCTTGTGATAGCTTAGGTAGGTCTATATATATAATGATTGTACAAARCATTAAAAAAATCAGTTTAGATAAAATATTTCTTCATAACCCACAAGTTTTCCAATATTATATTTATTATTAGGACTAAATTAGATATTATTTTACGTTTTCACTTGCACTAATACATTTACTTCAATATTTATTCGTCATTATCGATACCTATATCATACAACAAATTACTATACCTCGACGGTTGATAATCCATCAACATCATCGTTATAAGCTGCAGCAACAACGACATCGTGCAATAATATTAAATTATTAACAGTAATAATATTTGAACACGGATAAGCTGCACAGGGAAAAAAAAGATCAAGAAACGAAGAGACCTTGGTAGACGTTATAGGTACCTATATATAAATATAATAATAAGTATATATGTATAATAATAATTGTATAAAGATTATTAAATATCGGTTCAAACAAAATTTGTCTCTGTATAAATCTCTTAATATTATTATATGTTTAATCGAATGCATTCATTTATGCATCGTTATACATACATAATGCAGTTAACAACTACAGTGGCGGTTGATCACATCGTCGTCGTCATATTATTATTATTTATTATTATTAAGCTGCAAAAACCGGCATCGTGCAATAATAATAAAAATAATAATATTTGAACACACACGCTAGCTGCACAGGGAAAGGATCAGGAAGAGAGACCTAGGTAGTAGACGTTATAGGCCGCATGTGTGCGTATATTATTATTTATCTCTCTCTCTCTCTCCCCACTCGTCGTCGCCCCTTTCAACGGACACCCATCCGCGGCCGTCGCAGTCCGCCTACCCATCAGGCCGGAACGCGGCAAAACGTGTGTATACGAGAAAGACCGTTGACGAACAGCTGCCGCCACCGCCGCCACCGCTGCCGCTCTTTTATAATATTATTATTATGTGTCGTGTTTTTTTACCGACGCACTCGCTGCACTCACGGGTCCGGCGCGTAACGTGCGTTTCGGTTAAAACGACGAGACAGTGACGACGGCTACGTGAAAATCGATGATACTATTAATATAATTATTTGATTTTTCTGCTGCTGCTGCCCACGAAATCTACACRAGTGTTCGGCAGACGGAGATCACGCTACAACAATATTATTGCAGGTAAATCGTTAAGGTCRTTTTCCAATAACATAATTACTATTATAAGTATGATCATTGGTTTTGTAATACATATATTTTTATATATATTTTATATAGCATATTATAAAATCAATGGTATAATACTAAAACGTATTTAGTTCAATATAGGTAGTTGTATATATATTTATATATTACGAGACATTAGTCACGTGAGATGGAAAAATTGTAATTATATAGCATTATTAATTACTTGATTTTGACTATTAAAATCTTGAGCTGCTGATAGGTTAATTAAGATGTTAACGATTTGAATCGTCTCTATACGTATAATCGATRGTTACTGTATTCATAATAATTATTCTAACAGTTTATAGATGGGTAATTATTATATTTCCGATTGTAATTATTATAATTGGCACATTATTCGTATAATAATATATTAACATAGGTTCATCTATGTCGATTGTCGAGTATTCGAATCATAATATATTTTATACCGTTCTCGACGCTTTTAATTGAAACTTTATGGTCATCTAAAATCAGTAAAAGATTGCCAAATCTTACTAATAGGAATGAAAAAAACACTCTTGCCTTGTTACAATATGAAAAATTTAATAATTCATTGCACCAATCATTGGCGAGTAAATCTTTAATGGACCATWAACGCACTATTGATTCTTAAAAATAAATTTAGTAATTACAGTTTATACAACCTATAGCATCTGTGTTTCAAAATTAAAATGTTTTCGTAGACCTTACGTATAGAACGCATTTTTATAAATGATAACCGTCACACCGTATATACTATTAAAACTTATTTTTCTGTTTAAATACGATTGTAGTATTGATTATTTATGGTATCATATTTTTATTTATATGTCAAATAATATTATAAAAAATATTTAAATGAGCTTACATCCAAATTTTGAATAAATTTCGTTTTATTTAAMAATTATGTACGGGGTTTTAGCTATCCTCGAGGTATGCCATTATTGTATAGAATGTCATTTTCACCATATTGCGTGAAAATTGTCAAGTAGGTAATGAAAAACTATATAAAGCGCCATGATTCTCTTTTAAACTACCTGTAGGTATTTGTTACATATTGGTTATTGTATATTCTAATAGAATTTTTTTTTCAAATTTCAAGTTAGTATTAATCTACTGTAAAAGTAACAAATACGAAGAATATTTATTTTTTTATGACATGATTGGCAATCCAATTAAAAAAAATTGGTGGCAGTGTACTTCCGACTGCTGTAGACATTTTCTTCAACTAGAAACCAATTATAATTTATATCAAATAACGATACAATGACTCGGAAATCGGTAATAAACTAATAACTAATAACTAATAAGATATATCCATTGCACTGAGTACTTACTCATACTTACCCAATAGTTTAGTTTAGTTGAATGGTACGGTCTACCGTCTAGCACTTAAAGCTAGACCGGTAGTTACGATATACGAGATAATAGTTTCCGATCCAGAGGTATATTTTTGAGTACTTTGCCGAAACGTTGACACTTCTTTTTTCTTTRTGCGAACCTCCCTCCACCTGGTAATTTGTTCAAAGTCTGTAAAACTGACAATAATTAATATCCATACTACATATATACTAATTTAAATGAAAATTATATAGAAAAAAAAATTCAAATGGCAATAAAACGTGGATTTTTATTTTTATAAGTTCTTAGGATTTTGCCATTTTTTTGACTAATTTAAATGAAAATTATATTAGTTGGACACAATATAATGTGCATATTATGATTAATTTATATATGCAATAATATGCTAATATCCCAAGTAGGTTCTATACCTATCGTAATTATGGTATACAGTACTTACTATATACCCATAAACAGTAGTGCAATGCGGTAATGAGCAATGAACTTCAATGTGTTATAAAAGTTAATTGTTTTTTTTTTTATTATTATTCGGTGCGAATTATTTAAAATATAATATATACCTACATAATATTATATATACATTTCATTGTGAATACATTTAAAATGTTAATGCAATTATTTGTTTACTCTGAATTTACTTCGTTACGTTTAAACAGTCTTTAGTATTCAACACATACATTACACATAACGTATTCGTTATATACAGGATTACGAAATATTCTCTAAATACTAAAACCATAATCAACAATTTGCAACCCGGGCAAGAGAATTTAAACTTAAAACATTACGATTCTACTCTCCACAGTAATTCAATGCGCTTTCGACGCGTGTTAATTAGTTTGAAACTGTCTCTGGGMTATTCGTTTTAACTATACTATACAGATTACAGATGCAAACTGTATAGGATTAAAAACTCTAATTCTATATAATCAGCTAAGAATGAGGTGAAAAAAAAATGTTTGTGTATCAAGAACAAACGACGTTTATACCTACTATTATAGCCACTCATACCTAAATATTATAAAAGAATAATATATTTTAAATTTTCACCTCTGGTTCAACCATATACATATATATGCATAACCTGATTCCGCCGTGTAATTTTCCGTTCCATCACGTAAATGAATGTCCCGTGGAAATCACATCGATAATTTAAAATTCGTTTCGGTTGGGTCATTCAGCGGGTTATTATAATTATTATTATGATCTTTAATAATAGATGTAACGTCGTAACGATCCAACCAACGTCTTTATCTCTTACACGTATAAACACAGACTATATGAAAATATTTTCATATAGTCTGTGGTATAAATATGTTTATAATATATATTAAGCTTATTTTGATTTATCAATACTGCAGAAATCTTATCACCATGCTCAYCGTTCAAGTTACTTTCATAAATTCAGTTCATTAAAAATCCAAGTTATTTCTGTATGTATATTTCTGCAAAGAAACATTCTGGTGACCTTTTTAGGTCATCCATGATTTTTTAATTGATTTCAACTTGACACTAATTTAGTGACTCGAATTAAAAATGCCAAAATATGATAACCGCCATGCACAGAGACGAATCACGCAAAGTTAAAATATTTTAAGATCAACATTTTAGAATTTGTAATTCAGTGATTTATATAGGTATTAATATATAGTATATTAGTTACTTTATAAAATTTGTAAATTTGTAAATTATGTATGCTATGTATTATACTAACTAATTTATTAAAAATATCGKAAAACAATACTTATTAGCAAAACCAAAAATAATTGAAAAAATTAGGTAGGTACTATATTATAATGTACTTATAATAATGCTCGTGTAGGTACAGCCTATAAAATATTTCTAACTAAACTATTAAATTGATAATATTATGAATACTTCACATGTCTTTTAATATGTGAAAGCAATTGTAAAATTTATATTTTATAAAAACCTTATTACAAATATCAAATACTAATAACTTTATTATTGAAGTGTTAGAAAAATAAAAAATAAATGTTCAAAAAAAATCACACTTATAATATATATACTATATAATACTATAATACTATAATACTATAATAATACCATTAATACCTTTACCTATATATATTATTACGATTAAATATTAATACACACAATACAATCAGAAAACACTTATTCATATTTTATGAATGTTTTTAATTTGTAGGTATTACATAAAATTTATTAAATATAAAATACCTATGTATAAGTTGAAAGACTACATATAAGGGAATTTCAACAAAACAAAAATGTAGATACTACTATTAACAGTGTGAATTTTTATCAATATGGATTTTTTTTTTTTTATAKTAAACAATTTTGCTCTTGAAAGCATTTTAAAATAATGGGGCAGTTAAGATTCTATTGTGCAAGTATACAGTATACACGTTTTATTATACTATGGTAGTATAGCTGATAGTGTAATAGTATACTTATTGTAGACGATAATATGTATTCAGCAAGGACGTAAGGTATATCATTTCTGTTTTCCAACAGACAATAACATAATATATATCTGGCCCAGATAACCTAACCTAACCAGATAATCTGGGTCAACGAAAAATTCCATTCGAAACTTTAAAATAGGGCCCGTTAAAAGAGTCGATAATCCACTATAATAAACACGGCATTTATAAATATTGTTTTATCGATTTTGMACCAATTTTTCAATGTTTGAGTACCTACTTATACTGATTTTTAACTTTGTGTCGTTTACCACGTCGAATGCTAAACGGATTATTATATTGTTCGGTACACGTGCTGCAGTGTAAGCTAACCGTGTCTCGCCGGATCATATTAGATTCGTTTCGCTTGTATTATAAACATAAGAAAAATACATATGACGAAAAAAGTGAATATACAACAATAAATATGTACATGGGTGGGCGACGTTGAAGGAAGATTGTATAATTTGACTGCCGTGTGTTATTGTGAAATCGTGATTACATACAAATGTCCATATCGAATATATAATATTATCATCACTCTCAGGTATAACTACTATTACTGAAACTCCTGTAATATGTTATACTGTATTTAATTTTTATTGTACATTTGTATAGGTATTTAGGTAATTTGTTTAGTTGATTGTGATCGGAGTACCTATAGTATTATTGGATGTTGTGTGTTAAATAATAAGGATGACATTTAATTAATTTAATGAAAATAATAGAAATTCAAAATAATCAAAATTCCAATAATTACATAACGCAATAAACAAAGTTATAAAATGTACTAATAACATTTTATGTTTTCTCTTGTAAATTATTTTCAGGCAAGTATTAAATTTAAAAATGTTTTACTGTATGATAAAATTAAATTAAACAAATCACACCGTTATAGATGCTGAGTATATTAGTAAACATTTAAATTATCTTTTTATAACTGATACATCAATACCGTTATGGACATGCCATAAAGACGCTTTACAAATTAGAAGATAGTTAAACTTGTTTAATTACCAATAAAACTGTATAATATACTATA